GATGAGGTCTCGCTGCCCAGGCGGGTCTCGAACCCGCGGGCTCAGGCAATCCACTCACCTCAGCCTCCCAAAGGCGAGGGATTACAGGCTGAGCCACTGAGCCCGGCTTGAGTAGGTTTTAATTGAACTGATGAGCTTGTTTTTTGCCCGGAAGGCAAACCAGTCCTGACTGAGGGAAGGCACATTGAAAAATCTTAAATTAAAAATAAAGAAGGAGTTTGTGGAATTATACAGTCATTCTGGTCTAATTAACAATGTTTTATAACTAACATCCTTCTTCTGTTTAGTAACAATAGTGATAATGTGACTTCTCTTCACATTAGAGAGTGTTGCATTTTCCTACATTTACATCGCTCCCCTCAACACATGGTGTTTGGTAAACTACTCAGTATAAGAAGCAGTTATAGTGTTTTATAGTATATAAACTATGTGATATACATGGCCACTTGAAAGCCAGTACTATCAGGTTGACTTTATGGAACATTACACAACTCAGAGGATTCTTCTGTGGATTACACTAACAGAGAACAGAACTGTGATGCAGACTTAGTGGCTGTCTAAAAGCATTTCACACTCAGACATTAATGTACATGAAATTAACTTGACATAACACTAGTAAGCTGTAATATTTCATATAGAAGATGTCAGGCACCTGCTAAATGTTACTTTCCAAATGGAAATGAAAGTGAGATGATCAGAAAAAGATCATCCTTGCCTCAAGCGAGCTTCTGAAGCTGAAGCAAATTACTTAGCCTCAGAAATTACTTCTTCATAGGGGATTCTGGCATCCTGATTTTAAAGTGTTCTGAAAACAAAGTGTGTGACTCATGAAAGAAAGGACACTAAACCCGGAATTTGAAATTATGAAAAATTTAGGCCGAAGAGGTAAAATGAAAACAGCTGTTGGGAATGAAAAATGGCTGTAGGAATTTAGTTACAAGTACTTCACAAAAACATTTTCATCACATTTACATAATATAGCATTACAGTACAAAGCTGGCCGCCATCCTGACCAAGCAAGTTCTCTTATCTAACAAAAATAATCTAGATACATTTCCTTGCAAGGAATTGTCATATGTTTTCCATTTTTGGTACAAAACATAGAAAAAAACATTGGCACGGTATGTAGTGATAAGTCATTTTTTTCTTCCCATGTACCAGTTCCAAGTATCTTGCATTCCAATTTGAATTTGGAAAAAATTAACTATTGATTCAATTAATTCAGTCTCTGTTTATACCTCTCAAAAATGCAGCATGGAGTACAGAGAAAGAAAAACTAAGTTTGTTTACTGAGTTTCTAATATGTATAATACATAAAGAAGGGTTGGCTGGTAAAAGAGAAAGAAAAATCTCAATCTGACTTTATGTAGATCACAGAAAGTTGTGAAAAGAGCTGTATAAAAATATGCACTTGTGCTTTAGAAGCTTTTAGCATACAATTAATAGCTTAAAATAGTATTTACTGCTTCCCCATAAGCCTATTTTCTGATGTATTTACACTCTCACGATTTTTTTACATAATTAAAGCAAATGGCATGATTTCAAATATAGATAGGTTAAAAATATCTGAACCTTGAAACTGCCCCATCCCCTCCCCAAATATTACGTATATGTGGTGCACAGCCCAACATACTCAGCGGGCTTACACCCAGAAAATTTAGATTTTTTCATAAAAATTTTAAACAGCAAATGTATATAAAGTTTTTCTTTTTTTAAAAAAAGCTTGTCCAAGGGCATTCAGATTTAATGGCTTTTTAAAATCATACTCGGTGTAGTGCCTTGTGGCTGCCTCTGTGAGCCAGAAATAAGGGAAGTTCATGGATTCCCCCAAAATGAGTTGCTACTTTCTCCCCCATCATGTATGGCTTTCTATCAAGATGAATCCCTTTTACAAAAAAGCGGGCTACACAGGCTGCTGAGACCAGTCTAGAGAGGGCACTCCCAGGCTCAGGCTGTGTTCTAACTTGGATGCCACACCATCCACCAGAAGAGCCACGTAGCCCTGGAGGCTGTGAAGCTAACTAGTTTATTGATAATTTGGTCCTAGTTGTTTTGCTCATTTTCTGTAGTTTTTTCCTTAGATATATCTGTTCAGTAAGCTTCTTATGAATCCTTCCAATCGATGCTCTTGAGGAAAATAGTCAAGATAAACAGTGAGGGTGACGTGTATGATAGGAGATGAGTGGAGGAGCTGAACACTAGCTACGCTACTGAGTCACCATGGGGAGTGAGCTCACAGGCACAGTCTTTGCTTCTTGTATCCTGCTAGTTACAGTGAATCGGCTCCATGGTTTGACAAGGGCACACAGGATGACAGCAAAGGAGATTGCCAAGTATTTGTTCTGTCACTAAGTGATTGTTCAAAAGAACATGTATTTTTCTTCATGGAACATAACTTTCTAAAAATGAAATCTGGGAACTTGAATGATTCAAGGTCAAGTATTACACATGAGCTCCTTAACTTATACTTGTCCTTGCCATTATGAAGGAGAGCCTCTTGTTTATACCACTGTGATCTGCAGTGCCCTCTTGTAGATCAAGAGGTCCCCGTCTCTGGCTTGGCTTTAGCTGTCAGATGGCAGCCTCAGGCTTTTGCACTTGAGGTCATCTAACGTCTTCCAGTGTTTGTAGTTATCAGCCAAATGTTGCATCAGGGCTGGCAGATGTGCAAAGGCTGCAGGAACAGAAAAGAATCAAAAGAAACCTGTTAAATTGAATTAGGCCCCAGGAGCATTTATAATCCCGGGCCTCTCTGGGACAAGTTTGGAGTCAGAATTGGAGGAGGGGGTGCCCTGAGTTAGACCTCAGGCTGTAAGTAAATGCACAAGCACAGCAGTCCCCAACTTTCTTGGCGTCAGAGACAATTTTTGCGGAAGACAATTTTTCCATGGACTGGGGGGAGGGGAGTGCAGTCAAACCTCACTGCTAATGTTAATCTACCACTCAAAGGAGCGTGCAGCCTAGATCCCTCACATGCACAGCTCACAATAGGGTCCACGCTCCTGTGAAAATCTAATGCCGCTGCTGATCTGGCAGGTGACGGAGCTCCGCTTGCCTGCCGCTCACCTCCTGCTGTGTGGCCCGGTTCCTAACAGACCACGGACCAATACCACAGTCCACGGCCCAGGGGTTGGGGACCCCTGCACAAACACGAGAACAAGTCATTCAGCACTAGTTTCTGAAATACAAACAGGTCCTTTTAATTAAAATTGAAAAGATGTTTATTGGTGACATTAGAACCTGTGATTTAAAGAACACTCAATACATTTGTTGCATTCTTTCTAGAGCTTCTTCCAATGATAGAAAAAAACTGCTGTAAGCTTCAGAAGCATGTCCTTTGAAGAGGCAAAGGCTTGTTTAGCGAGTTACCAAACATCCATCGAGCCTTCTTTACCCAAGGTTCTGTGCCAGGTGCTGGGGATGTGAAATGTGCACAGGCATCCCAGCTCACCTGGCCACAAACAGCTGACAGCCAATTTTTTTGGTTAATATCTTTCATGTACCTTGTGGCCCAACCTATGTCATTAAAGGTAATCACAAAGTATACACTGTTCTTCGTGAGTAACAAAACACTAATGGTCTTACCATCCCAAGCATCAAACATGTCTGTTATGAAGTAGTCGATGAAGGAGATCTGGGACTTGGGGATGCTGCAGGTATTCCGGTCAAACACTGGCATCACCACAGGCAGCCCCTGTCTCTTTTCTTCATCGGTCTGTAAGAAGAAAACACATGACACAGGGCTGCAGAGCACACGAGATGCTTTCACAGTAACATCATGCTTCTCAGAACAACCTGGGAAATGGGTCGTTATCCAACTTTTTTCTTCTTTCTCCCCTGTATTCCTCTATTCAGTCTTGACTGCCACAGTCAGACAGACAGCACAAGGACACTTTTTTTCTGGCTTCTGTAATGGAAACCTTAACAGCAGACAGTAAACTGCTCCCTATCTGTCAAATAGACACATTCATTAGACTACCTTATAAGTGCCCTGAGCCATATGTAAGCCAGCTGAGCTGGCTCAGGTCTGCTGACTCCCAAGTCTCTTTACGTGTACCACAGCCTCTCCTGACGCACTGGTCTCAGGGCACTTAGCTCCTTTTCCATGATCTCTTTATTATCACAGAGTCAAACTATTTTCAAAGTGTGTGCTACTGACTGGCACACACTGAGGGCGCAGGGGCAGTGGGAGGGACTCAGTGAGCTTGCACCAGACTGTATCAGCAGCAGTAGCCCTTGTGTCATTCACTGCCATGTTTGTGAAACCAGTTTCACTTAAGAATCACCTCTTTGAAACCTCTAAGAATTGCTCATTTTATTAAATCTTGACCTTTGAGCAAGGGTCCCCAACCCGTCCGTGGCTTGTTAGGAACAAGACTGCACAAAAAGGAGAAGAGCCGTGGTCAGTGGCTTGTCAGGAATCGGACCGCACAGCAGGAGGTGAGTAGTGGGCGAGCAGGTGAAGCTTCATCTGTAGTTACAGCTGTTCCCCATTGCTTACATTCCACCTGAGCTCTGCCTTCTGTCAAGTCAGCAGCAGCATTAGATTCTCATGGGGGCATGAGGGATCTAGGTTGCATACCCCTTACGAGAATCTAATGCCTGATGATCTGAGATGGAGCTGAGGCAGTGATGCTAGTGCTGGGGAGTGGCTGCAAGTACACATTAACACTGGCAGTGAGATTTGACTTCAAAGAGACCATAATAAATCAGTTGTTTGGAGACTTATATCAAAACCCTATCAGTGAGTCGATGTACTTCATTTGTACAGTGGCATCTGGTGACAGACTTTAAGTCAGAATCCAACATTTATTTTAGACCACGCATGGCATGCCCGTTATTTTATTCACCGTTTCCATCCACACCTCTTTTTTTTTTTAATGGTGAGTTGTATAATTAGCTCATTATATATTACAATGTAATAATAGAAATAAAGTACACAATAAATGTTATGCGCTTGAATCATCCTGAAACCAACCCCCTCCCCCAGTCCGGAAAAATTGTCTTCTACAGAACCGGTTCCTAATGCCAAAAAAGGTCGGGGACACTGTCTTTGAGTACACGTCTCTTTAATATTCTGTGTGACAGAATGGGACATCTCACATAAGCACTTATGCCACATGCCACAGGCTGCGGTGTCTTGAGGAAAAGCACTTAGTGATTAGGTGGGAGCTGAACTGGCTGCTTTTTTCTTGAGCACTGTTTTTACTCAAAAGAATGACTGTCAGACACACTGATTGCTCGGATTTGGGTATTATCCATGTAGTGCTTTCACGGTATGAAGATCTGAGCTTGATGTACTCTGAAGCATGTGACATGTGTGTGTCACCAGGGCTGAGTGCTGAGACCCACATTTCCCAGTGGGATATGGAGCCTGTGACCAGCTCACCACAAGCCCTACTTGTAACTTGTTGGATTTTTAGGTCACCCTGGCTTGTGAACATGGGTATGTTCCTTTTTGGGAAAAGGATACCTCAACAGGAGGCTTACATTAAAGAACCTAAAAGTGCTTTTCCCAACTCTCCATTCACATGCTTTGAGAGTAACTGGAGCTGACGTCAAGTCCTTTCTGGTGGGTCCCGGAGGTCCATGCGTGGCCTCCCACCAGCCTCAGCTCCGCTTGCTTGGCTCAGGCATTGATGAAGCAGCCTCAAAATATCCTCTGGTCACTTCATAGAGTAGTTTGCTGCCTGTCCTACTTTTCCAAATTTCAAGGGCTCTGTCTCTCTCTCTCTCTTTTTTAAAGCAGGATTTATTAAGAGGACAGAAAAGCTCCCAGAGCAGGAGGGAACCTGAGGGGGTTGCCCTCAAGGGCTCTTTCAACCTTGAAAACTGCAGATACCTTGCTGGGTCCTCTGCTAGCCAGTGCCCTCCCAGCCCTTGTGGACATCAGCTGTTCTCTGTCCTGCCCTTCTTTGTTCTGCTCCAATAGTGCATTTCAGCCATGCAGACCCCTAGTACGCTCTACTGTGGCTACTCGTTTGTCTCTGTCACACACATTTGCATGGGTCCTCGAGCGTTTGCCTTGGAAGTAGAGCTCTATTTCATGGGTCATTTTGCAGGCCACTGCCTTCTGGGCTTTTCTCTCTCCTCCTTACAGAGCTACAGGTAGCGTGACCCACATATTGCTACTCTCCTTATATAAAAATTCTATTTTCCTCCTTATTAATTTTGCTATAACGCTTTGTTCTCTCAGAAAGTCTTCCTATTTCCACATTTCTAAAGCCTTCCCTTTATCTAAAAAAGTCTCTGTGAACTCCCATAGCATTTAACATATACCTCCCTTAGGTGTACTTTTCATTTTTTACCAGCACGTGGACCCATCTGCATCTACGTCTCTCCCCAGCTCGATGTGAGTTGCCCAAGGCGGTGTATATGTGTCTAAACTCATGCCCGTGTTCCCACAATGCATGCTGGAGACACTCAGTAATAACCTTGTGAATGAATGGAAAATTTCCCATATTTTGTGGAAATTCAGGCTCCCACAATTTGAGGACGAAGTTATTTCAAAGGCTCAATTTATCTCTCTCCTCCTAGAGAGACTTCAGCTAGTGACCAACCACATCAGTTAGTGCCTGAGGGAGCTGTTAAGTCCCGTCCAGCTAGAGGTGAGCTGTTTTCTTCCAGCGAAGAATAGTTAGCTAATTGATAAAAAATTCTTAGCTTGAGAATCCAGAGTTCTAGGACCCGGGGCCCATTCCCAGAAGGGAAGTGGAGCTTCCCTAGAGAGACAGCACCTGTGCAAAATACTCCTCTGAGATCCTCCCGGCCCATTCGATGCACAGGTCCAAGGGTCGGCATGGATTGGCCACATCAGCACACTTAATCATCATGCGTTTGATCAGCATTTGGTTTTCAGGAAAGTTCTTCCCAGCAGGGTTGCGTTCACAGTCACCGCCCTCAATCTAGAAAACAGAGGATCTGGTCAGGGGTGGTTCCAGAAGATGGTAAAGCCCACAAGGGCGAACTCACCAGGCATTCACGGGTAAGCACCCAGGCACTCTTAGGCATGACTGGGACTCGGTGAAGGAGGCTTTCCCTTTCCTTAATTCTGTATAGAATATACTGAGGCATTCTTTTAAAAATGTCAAGAAATACAGACATGCAGAGTTGGAAGGGTGAAAGTCCCTTTCGTCACCCAGCTACCTTCACCCTCATGTCCAACTTCTTTCCCAAACGCAACTGCTACAGCAGTTTTGTTTTGTTTTTGTTTTAAGCAATTTGATATATACTCTTAATAGAGGGAATTCTCACAGTTTTATCAGAAGAATGTGTAAAAGCAGAGCCTTCAGTTACTTTAATACATTAGAGGTTGGAAAATAGTACATACATGTGACCCTTCAATTATTTATTATTTCTACTCATACCCACCAGCTCCCTTCTCCTATCCCACCCCTACTCACCCACCCCCGCCTACTTGGTTTCTCTTAAGGCACATGTTCACTCGTGTTTTCTTGGCTGTTCTTCCGCCAGGGTGGTAGGGAGTGACAGCCAGGTAGGTGTGGGGTTCTTGGAGTAGAAGATGGGCCATACAGGAGCAGGTGTATTCCATGTGGAGAAAGACCAGAGAAAGCCTGGTGCATATCTAGTGATGCTGGTGTCCTGAGCCATGTGGCCAGGCCTCTGAGAAGGTGCACATCAATGCAGTCACAGGCCACTTACATAGAACCTGGAAGATTATTAGCCTCTACTTTTAAAGACACCATTGAATTGAGTGTGCAAAACCAGTGAGCTCTTCAGAGCTCTGCCAAGCTGAAAGACAGCATGACATTTAGGAGTTTTGGCTTTGTTTTGAGACTGTACTATTTATTAGGCCATTGATGGGTAGGATATATTCTGGAGGTTGTTGATTACTTACCATTGGGAAGATACTGCTTATAAGAAATACTGCAGTAAACAGTAAATCTCAACACGGAGTTTGGGGCTGTCATGGATAGATGGCTTCCCAATTCTTCATTCTGTGATTCTGTATAATTTTCCCCTTGAAATCTCCAGATTCTTGCTTCCACAGGTCCTCTGTGGAAGGAGGGGCTCTGGCTTGATGCTGGGAGATCCTGGGGGCTGGGGCTGAACAGGTGAGCTGAACCTTGGCCCTTTTTCCAGGCTCTCACGGGCGGGTCCTGCACAAATAGGCTCCTTGCTGACCATCAATGCTTTGAAGGTGACCCCTCATTGTCCATCCACTTCTCCAATCCCTTCTGCTCAACCCTTTCTTTATGGGGCTGTGAACAGCTTCATGGGTTCAAAGGACAGTTGATCCCTTTTTATACAACAGAGATGTGACCCTTCTGCCCATGTTCCTAAAGCCCAAATTGGTAAGAACTGAATTAGGCAGGTCCAAAGTATCTCAGTGAGTTTAAAAAAGGAAAAATCGACAAGTGCTTTTGTTTTCTAGTCACTCCTAATTTTACCATAGTCTTTGAGTCCTGGTATGCTTTCAATGTAGATCTACAGGAACATTCTTTATTCTTTAAAACATTCTCCAACTTTGAGGGCTCCCAAGAGCTCAGAGAACAGAGAATTAGAAAGACTTTGGATCCCCTAGGAGACCACCGCTGCCATCAGTCTGCTTGTCTGCATCTCTCCTCTGTCGTACTTTTTGGGTCTGGTGTTTTTTGTCACTACAGGCTTTTTCTTAGGAGCTTAGAGCTGCTGTGGACACTGTCAATTCATTTTCATCCCCAAGAAAGCATGTGGCCAGTATTTCAACCCTTTACCGGCTCCAAACAAGCAAATAACCACCTAGCATTCAAGTGGGAGAATGAATGCCCTGGGGCCAGTGAGGGTCTCGTGGCTGTGTACCCTGATGTGTCTCCTGGTGTGGAAAGTGCTTACCTCTGCGGCCATGGGCTTGTTGATGCTGTTCACAAATTTGTTCACGTGTTCAAAGTGTTTTGTCATCTCCGTTGCCAAAACCATGTCAATAATAGCCTGGCGCAGTGTTCGATAATGGTTCCTAAAATAACCAGAAGACAAAAGAGCCTTGTTCACATCGTGTCCTGAGTGAGAACTGTTCTGCCCATTTTCCACACTTCCCACAACCCAGGAGGAAGCCAGGGCAGAGCTAAGAAATGAGTGGAGATCACGAAAGATAGACTGCCTGCTCGTCCTCATGGTAAGCCAGGACACACAGACATGACTCCAGTTCCCAGTGACAGCTGACCCTTCCTCACATGATTTATGAGAATTTTAAAAAGTACTGGCCGGGCTCGGTGGCTCAGCCTGTAATCCTAGCACTTTGGGAGGCCAAGGCAAGTAAATTGCCTGAGCCCGTGGGTTCAAGACCAGGCCGGGCAACTTGGCAAGACCTTGTCTCTACAATAAATACAAAAAAAACTAGCCGGGCATGGTAGTGCGTACCTGTAGTTCCAGCTACTGGAAAGGCTGAGGTGGAAGGATCGCCGGAGCCCAGCAGGTAGGCTCTGGGGTGGTTGTGAGTGTGCCACTGCACTCTAGCTTGGGCAACAGAGTGAGACTCCAACTCAAAAAGAAAGTGCCTGTCACACAGCGGGCATTTATTTTCCAAGAATGTCAAGACAGGTGGGAGGGAGTGACAGGCTGGTCTAGCAGCCAGGCCAGCTGGCCCTGCATCCCATGCAGACGGCGGTTCCTCTTGGAGAGGACTGCCACGACTTCTCTCAGTGGTGGCATTAGAAGATTTTCCTGTTAGTAAGTTCTCTAGGCGATGACTCACAGTTGTAATGGCTCTGAGTAACAACCAATGACTATCCAATTCCTATCATCTTTCTCTCACTTTAAGAGCCAGGATGGGGGCTGAATCAAACTGACTATTGGAAAGAATTCCCTGTGAAAGTTTAAAAACTAATCTTTGATACTGGTGAAACTGAAGCTGAAGCTAGCATCTTCAGTTTTCCCAGTTTTCTGGAGACTAAACAGATAGATTCACATTGATAAGCAGCCCAGAGGCTCAGGTGAGGTCCGTGCCCTCTGTGTCTGCTCTCTCCCGGGTGTCGGCCCACCAGCCAGGCTGGTGTTTTATGGCAGATGCCCACTGCCTGGCCACAGGGCTGCTGGCAGGTAAGAGGAACTGCTCACATCTGTCGCATGTGGCCAGCTCTCACCAGAAGAGAACACAGGCCTGGGGGAGCCTGCCCCGCCCACCCTTTGGGCTGTAGCACCTCTGCTGGGACCGCCTCAGGAGGCAGGATTTCAAGTGGTCCAAAATTGAGCTGGAGGAGCAGGGTTTTGGCTCCATCTTCCCTGAGTTACACAAAAGACAGGGTGTCCTCCTGGGAGGATGAAAAAGATCTGCGGTACTTACTAGTAAAACAGCCAATATTTAAGTAGTGCTTTGCAGTATATAAAACGTTTTCATGAACTCACCGAAGACCAAGTGAGATTGTAAAACACAAAGGCCATCTGAAAAGTCAACTTACGTTTCCAAGGGCCAGGTTATTATTTCATTACCTGATCCCGTGGTACGGCTATTCTTACTTCATCTTTCACTAAGAGGAAGCTACTAAGTATTTGGAGAAGTTTGGGAAAGCCGTTTCCCACTGAGACTTCACAAACCTGAGCCCTGGAGCCTGAGCACAACACACCTGTCAATGTTCTTGAAAATGTTGCATTTCGTGTCCTTGACTGTGAGCTGGAAGGCCAGGGCCGTGTGGTGACTCTCCAGAACTGCAGTGTCATTGTAGAGCACGGCCAGCTCACTGCCTGCGTTGCAGAGGAAAGAGTTGGTCCTTCCTGGGTGGTCCACGTCATGGACTGTGGCAGCGATCAGGGCTGCCACCTCATCCAGCTGATCCAGGCTTCCCTGGAGAGGGGGAGGGCACGGTTGAGCATCACCTGCTGGATTTCAAAGACCCACATCCATCCCTGCCTGCCAAGAGGGGAAGGGCTGGGGATATGGGATTTGCAGAATGTTCTGCGGAGCCGTCTCTGACTTCCTAGTTGTGTAGAGGCAACCTTGGGCACGCCAAGTCACCTTACTGTGCCGTGTGTTATCTGGAAGGACCAGAAACCTGCTGCAGTTACAATGGACACCGAGGCTCTTTCTCCAGAGTCCATTCACTCCAGGTCTCTGGGGAGAAGCCAAACAGACCTTCGGCTTGCCTGTCGTGTAGTATTAATGTGACTGCCATGGGCAGACACAGCAGAGGGCGGCCTGTGATAACAAACATGACTTATTTTATTTGCTTGCTCCTGAAGAGATTTTGAACGTGCTAGTAGCCAATGGTGCCAAGACAAAACTATTTCCATGATGGTGAAATGATCAGAGTCAAGCAGGAAAAGAGGACCCAGGGGAAGAAGAAGAATTTTGCTAGGAAAAACAAGACTATGGAGCTCTTAGCGCTAAGAACAAATTCAGTTCTGGGCTAGCAAGCAGCAAAGGCAAAAAGGGAAACCCTATTTCCATAGCTCTGATTATGTAAGTAAAAAACACAAACCAGAGCATCTGGAGATACAAGTGTTTTCCTGGCTTGCAGCGTTTGGAAGAAGCTTATTACATAAGAGCTGCGGTACCAGGAATGTATTCATTCATTGCACACGGGTGCCCCCTGGGTACCCTTCTCACACACAGTGCCAGAGTTACAGCGATGGTCCTCGCTGGCACATCCCTGTACTAAGGGAGTGCATGATCTGGAGGGAGAAAGACGGTCCATTTAGAAACACACATAGAGTAACTTACTATGGGATGTGCTAAGAAGGAAAGGCCATACGCTTTGCGAGGATAGTCATGGCGCCTGCCTAGTGCAGGACAGCACTGTCCAGTAAGCTTCCTGTGGTGATGGAAAAGCCTTCTATTTGTGCTATCCGCTACAGAAACTGAGACACGTGGAGCTGCTGGATACTTGAAATGTGGCCAGTGCAATCATGGAACTAAATTTTGAATTTTATTTAAGTTTAATAGCCATTGGTGGTTAGCGGCTGCCATGTTGGATAGCACAGGTCCACGGTGGCCAGGGATGGCTTCTTTAGGGAAGCCTGAAGATAAGCAGGAATTAGCAGACAACATGGTGAGGGAGAGGATTCCAGGCAGAAAGGGCAGCCTGTGGGAAGCTCCGGAGGTCAAACAAAGCAAGGGGTTCATTCGGGAAACCTAAAGAACATCAGTGTGGCTGAAGGATGGTGAGCGGGAAAGCGCGCCCAGGATGAGGCTGGAGGAGTGGACATAATTTTTGGTGTTCCCCAAATTCTCTCTCTTAGGCTTGTGGGAGGAAAAGTTGCTTCTCAGGTGAAGAACAGTGAATCAGACTCAGCCCTGTCCTGTGATGACACCAGACAGCCACTGGGCTGCATGTGATGTGTGGTTAGGGCTGCAGGGGCTCCCCTGAGAGCTCTGTCGCCACCATTTCCATGGTGCTCCCCAGCCTCACGGAGCTAGGGGCTGCCCTAGGTTGGCCGCATCAACACAGCCAGGTTTCCTGAGCCGGGCAGCAGTCGATGCTATTCTTTTCAGCTCTGCTCAGAGATTGATTCTGTGGTGCCCAGGGCAGGCAAGCAAGGTGGCCCCTTTTTACCACTGTTCAGGCGGCGGCACCCTGCAGGCATGGTCAGCCATTTCCCAGCTCGGGCCCCAGAGCTGCCCCAGCGCGAGCTCCACCTTCACTGACTACCAGAGCAGGGAGAACCCAGGGGGCCCAACTGTGGGCCTCCAGCTAGTGCTCCCGTAGGACAGTGAATCCTGCTTGGAGTCTGAATTCTTCAGTGAAATAGATCGAGGTCACTGGGCTAGAAAACACAAGTAGCACTAGATGAGACATGCCTTTTCTTCCATGAGCGGTTTTAAACCATGAGCCCAATGATGATAGCACTTTTATTAAGATACCAATAATGGGCCACACCCTGCAGTTTCGTGGGCACTAACAAGGTGTTGTCTTATGGGAAGTGGCTGGGAGGTAGGGAAGGAAACCAGGCTAGCTCACCAGCAGAGGAGAAGAGCAAGGCATTCCTACATCCATGAAAGAAAATTCCACCAACTTGCAACTGGCGGAACCCCAAACCCTGAAGGTGCAGGTGTCTCTGCATAATTTTTTCCTGCTGTAACTGACAGGAGTCAATTTGGGTCCCACTGAGGAAAACTGGCCAGAATGGGTTCCATTCTAGATCCAACTTTCAGACAGTGCCTTACTCAGGATAGTAATGATGCCTAGAAAATAACAAAGGAACACTTGCTATCCTGCCTCTCCACTTTCAGTGGTTTCAGGAATCGGGCCATGTGGGGAGAGGATGGGCCCATAACCAGCTGTTAGTGCCCTGCCAACTCTGGGCATGCTGTCTCTATGGCTGGGCTGGGCATGCTTTGTAACAACAACATGATGACATGATGTAGTGAGGCCTAAATTCTTTCTTTTTTTTTCTGAGTTGGAGTCTCACTCTGTCGCCCAGGCTGGAGTGCAGTGGCACACTCACGGTCACCCCAGTGTCGACCTGCTGGGCTTTGGCGATCCTTTCGCCTCAGCCTTCCACGTAGCCGGAACTTAAGGCACACGCTACCACATCTGGCTACTTTTTTTTTTGTATTTATTGTAGAGAAGAGGTTTTGCCAAGTTGCCTTGGCTGGTCTCGAACCTGCGGGCTCAGGCAATCCACTCACCTCGGCCTCTCAAAGTGCTAGGATTATAGGCTGAGCCACCGAGCCTGGCCAAGACCTAAATTCTTAAAGAAATTAGGGGTGTCAGATGACACAAGGAGAGGTAAGAAAATATTTCCCAGCCATCTTTGTCAGGGGCAGCAGGTCTGGCTGAAGAGGCCTTCGGAGCAAATCCTCCTGGAAGCGCCTCTTGGTGAACTTGCCAGCAATCATGGACTGGTGACTAAATCCTCTGAGCACAGAAACCCCGTCCAGCTCAGTCCTCTGTGGTTCCTTGCAGCTTTGCATTCTAAGGCTCTGCTGTGGCTGCCATAGTGAGAAAAATGTCTTTTGAATTGCAAGCATATCTAGTCTTGGGCCTGTTTCTATTGGCTGTTATTTGAGAAATTCAGACTCTGAACACACCAGCAGGACTTACAATTTAAAGAAAAAAGTGCTTATTTTGGAGGAGGATAGTAACCTTACCAAGCATTCCCTGGTTGATCAAACACTTAATCTGGAGTGGTTCTGCTTAAGTGAGGTTCATCTCTGTTTCCAGACTGCAGCGGCTATAGATCACTTTGGTCTTGGCATTAGTGAGCTGGGGGCTGCTCCCAGCTGGCATGTGTGGCCTCAGTTATGTAACATCGCATGCAGTGTGACCTGGAGGAGGGTGAAGCTGTGCTGGGAAACCAGAAGTGGTTTAGCTCCTCACAGAAAGGTGTTATAGAAACATACATTGGGATCACTATTACTTTTTTTTAAAGAAGACAAAAATCAGGCCGGGCACGGTGGCTCACGCCTATAATCCCAGCACTTTGGGAGGCTGAGGTGAGAGGATTGCCTAAGCTCATGGGGTCAAGACCAGCCTGGGCAGCTTGGCGAGACCTCATTTCTACAATAAATCAAAAAATTAGCTGGGTGTGTGGCACATGCATGTAGTTCCAGCTACTTGGAAGGCTGAGGTGGCAGGATTGCCCGAGCCCAGCAGGTTGAGGCTGTGGTAGCCGGGAGCATGCCACTGCACTCCAGTCTGGGCAACAGAGTGAGACTCCAACTCAAAGAAAAAAAAAAAGACAAAAATCTTCAAAGCATCATTCTTGGATCCCATTGTTTTCTTGCTGATAAAAGTGAATATAAGGCTAGTCTTTGGTAAAATGGAAAAGATACCTTCTCCCCATGTTGGTGCCATTTCTGCTCTTTCTACCTGTCCCACTGTCACTGTATTAAGTACCCAGAGTCTTAATCCCTCATCAACACCTGTAGTTAGAAAATGATCTAATATCAGGCACTTACAGACTGAATTTCAGTCTCTTCCCCCAGGGGTATCAAAATGTTAAGCTTTAGTTTTAATTGTAGCAAAGAAATCTACAAGCTTCCTTGTATAAGAGACAGTAGTTGGGGTGGGGACTGGGGAGAGATGGGGCTCTCTTGCCAGCTTTAAATAGGGCTGCAAATCAGCACTCGTGCATGACACTAAGTAAGACCTAGGGATGTAGAACTCTTTCTGAATTATACAGATGTCACTAATATACAGTATGCACACATTCACACCTATGTAACACACACACACACACACACACACACACATATGTAATTAGTGTAGAATGCTGAGTGGCTTGTTATTATCTGGATTGCAATATGCTAATAGATAAATCCTGATACTAAAACTTACCCTCTAGTCCTAGTAACCACTTGCTATCATAATTAAGTTCTGCTCTCAAACCCAGTAACAGAGCTCCTAGTGAACATTGGGAGAATGGGCCATGGAACAGCCATGCATGTCAAGGAGTCTCTCTGGTGGCATAAATTATTATTCTAAGCATTTGGAGGAGCGGAGGGCTAGGAGAAAGTCCCTGTCTTTACATGTCAGTTTAGTAGCTAAAAAAACACTATCACAAATTGTTTGCACAACAGTGGTTGCAAAATAGCTATTTGCCTAACATAATGACTAAGATTGAGTTCTTGGACCTCCAATTTAGTCAGGTAACTGGCCCAGGATATCAAAAGTCTACCTTCACTCGCTCCTTTCCCAGGAAGAAGGCAGTGGCATGCAGGACGTCCGCAGCATGGGTGGAGTTGTGGTAGGCATTGGAAGAGTGGTAATTGGCTTCAATCACTTGGAGCCAGGCGCGAAGCGTGGCTTCAGAGCAGTTTAAAAACTCACATACTCCAAACCGAGAGAAGACCTTTAAGCCCAGGTAAACCAATGGCCTGGAAAACAGAACACAAACCCTGGCTCATTATCTTCCCTGGCCCAGAAACTGTTTTTGGTGATACAGGGGGATGGAGGCCTTTTTCTTCGGATGGTATCTCTGCACACACAGGGGTGTAAAACATCTCTCCAAATGAGCAGGAAGTAGACATCTGCTTCAACTAGCCACCTCTTGGAACTAGGGGCTCTCATGGTAGTCAGTCCAGATTACTTCTAGGTTATGTCTGAGTCCTTCCATGGTTCTGGCCACAAGAAAGTTCGCTGGCAGTCCCTCGCTATCTCCATGTCTGCTCCCTGAGGAGGTTACTGAGCCAAGGGATACCAGGACCGGTTTGGGTGGTCTCAGCAAAGGCCCATCACTGGAGTCATGTTACTTACAGGTGAGAACCAGTCATGACCTACAGACCCTGGGAAGAAACAGCCCTCGAGTGTGGAAAAGGCCCTCTAGTCCTCCAATCTTTCTCTGCCACAGGATGGATCTAAAGACGGCCCTATGGAGCTCTCAATTCACACTGCAGGGGGCACCTTCCACATATGTGGGGCAGAGGTGACTCAGAACTCTCGGCTCACGGGCCTGAAGCGGTGGCCTGCAGACCCTCAGGCTGACCTCACATCTTCCCCACCAGCTCTGTCTCCATGAAGGAGCTCGCTCATATGCCACAGGCTCTGCACAGTCCACACTCCTCCAAGGTGGCACGAAGAGCCAGACCCTGTGAGGCCTCCTGTGGCAAGGGCACATCTCCCTTAAAGTTTCCACATGTGCAGTCTGAGTGTAGCCATCCATCCTGCCCTGCCTGCAGCCGAAGAAACCACGTACCTTTTATGCGTGACTGCTTCCAATTCAAAGATGTTGAAGTCCCAGCTTTCCTCATTATCGAGTAACTGCGCGATGGAAGGGGGAACATCGTTGATGGTTATTGGCATCGCGAGGTGGCTGTGACTCTGGTGCACGTCTGAGCAAACACATGGGATGGAGAGGCTGGTTAACTGTGGAATCTTGAGCACCCCGGAGTATCTGCCGTCATCTTCATGGGGTTACTACCAGAAAAAAGGTCTTGAACTTCCAAGGGTAGGAAGATTTTCACTTCAAGGTTTTCTCTTATACTATTAAACTTCAAGACCCCCAAACAGAAAATGAACTCAGTTTAACAGTCTGTTGAAATGTACAGAGATTTGCAATTCTTACCCTAACAATGCTCAGAGCAGCGATTTTAATTAGGAGACACAGTTTCCCATGTAGACCACAGAGATGCTTAAACACAAACAAGACCAGCTGGAATTAACACCAAGGCCCTTCCAGAACAAGAGTCCCCACGCCTGGCTGGCATGGGCTAGAACAAGCTGCAGTGACAAGTGGACGGGTGAAAACTTACTCTTAGTAAACACATACTCATTTCCTGACAGCCTCCTCAAGCCATCCTGGAAGAAAGAAAGATACTGTTAGATGACAGACGCATGCATTCTATCCCATCATTCTCTCACTTCCGTCATTAGTGAGAGATGTAAATCCTGAAGAACCAGAAATCTGGAACTTCATAGTAAAGCAGAACTCAAGATTAAACCAGAACAGCTGTTAAGATAGAGGCTCCACTCCCTTCTGTGGCCGTTAGTCCCCGGAGGTGGGAAGCCAGGCGTAAAGTGGGTGTGCCCACAGTCAGGACTCACACCCAAGGCTGTGTCCATGCCGTTCTCCTCTCCCAGCATTTTGAGGCCATTTATGAGGCAGCCGTACTCTAGAGCACACTCAACGTCTCTCTTGCTTTTATGGTTTTGCCTCGGCACTCACAGTCATCAGGCCTCCGACCAGATCACTGGTGTGAGGATCTACATCTTTGGTACCCTTTGGTACGTGAAATCACAGAAGTGATCCTGCTTTGAAGGGCCCCCACTCACCTTCAGGGTGGTTGTGTTATTCTTGTGTTTTCAGACTTACATTTTGAGATATCAAAGACATAGGCCACATTTTGGGGATGACCTTCTAATGTAGTCTTAAAAAGACTGAGCTAATTTTTGACTAGTATCTCAAGTAATTTTTTTGCAACTGTATTTTCTATTTCAAAACATGACCATGCTAAGTTCTAAAGCAGTATTCATTAATGAAGGGCTCCTCTGAAGTCACACCTTTAGGTCAAGAGTTTAATTTATTTTCTTTTTCTTTTTTTTCTCTTTAGAAACAAGGTCTCATTCTGTCACCCAGGCTGGAGTGCAATGACATGATCATAGTTCACTGCAGCCTGGAACTCTTGGGCTCAAGCAATCCTCCTGCCTTAGCCTCCTGGAGAAGCTGGGGCTACAGGCACACCAACATACCAGGCTAATTTTTAATTTTTTTGTAGAGACAGAGTCTTGCTATGTTGCCCAGGCTAGTCTCCAACTCCTGGGTTCAAGCAGTATTTTCACCTTGACCTCCCAAAGCACTGGGATTATAGGCATGAGCCCAGCCTTTATAAATGGAACTTCCATATACACTTTTATTAAGAGAAAATATTCTATAGCTAAGGTTTTGGAAACTGCTAAAGTCTAAGTACAAACTGTTTTATTGCATAGATAAAGAGTCTGAGGTCCAAGGAAACATAGCCATGACCCTATGCCCAATACTGTGCCAGTAAAGGGGAAGAAGAAATAAACAAGGGTCTGCATAACCCCTATCTTGCGAATTGAGCCCTCAGTCAGGTGCCTGCTTACTCTCACGATAGCATGAATCCTGAAGGACTGTCTCCATCACTATGGTCAGTCAGCCTCATGGAAAGGCAAGCACAAGAATCACCTAAATAACCCACACGTAAATTTGGATGCAGTTGCTCTGGTTATGCTGATGTTCATCTACACAACAGGCATTTCTGCAACTACAGGAAGAGTTTATGAGGCAGCCATACTCTAGAGCACACTTAACATCTCTTTTGCTTTTCTGGTTTTGCCTCAGCACTCACAGTCATCAGGCCTCCGACCAGATCACTGGTGTGAGGATCTTCATCTTTGGTACCCAACTGAGGGGAGTACAGTTCTGTGGTCCGTAAAATCTCCAGAACTCTGTCCAGGGCTTCTGCTACTGTGACGGGGCTGTTCTCTTGGGCTGCATTGATTATATTTATGACCTAGGGAAGTAAAGAAAGAGAGAATGAATACATTTGAGGATATTAGGATTCTACTTCCCAACAGTGATATGCCATGGGTGCCAAAAAAATGTATATACATTTTAAGACATGTTGCCTATGTATTACTTTTTGAAGTTGAATTGAATAACGGTAGCAATGTGTAGCAGGACATTCACTCAAAAGATGACGTTAATTAAGTGAATGCTAACATCATCATGTGACAGGCAGGACAGTACTACAATTTTAATGGTTTTTTCCTTTCTTAAAATGTGTATACATTTTTTGACACCCTCTGTATATGCCCAGAATCCAAAAGACATCAGATGGTGGCACGTCTTCTGGTCTCAAACAAGCAGCACTTTCCCGGCTGCGCCCCTTTTCAGGAAGTAGGCTCTCGCCCATGGCCCTGGGGTCCTCCTTCCTCAGTGACTGGGTATCCCCCAGCTTCTTCTGACCCTTCTCCTCTCACTCTCTTCCACAGAGATTGGCCCTGGGCTTCTCTCTCTCACTCTACAGTCCTTCCAGAAATGATGTTTCCCTGACTGTGGACACGTGTGATCCACAGCTGAGGACCCTCCAGGTTGTCCCCTAGCCCTCGCTTCCCTTGACCTCCAGCCTTGCACATTCAGTTGCCTCCCTGACAGACCTATGTGTCAGACACAAACTCCAGCCTTGCTCCCCTCTCCCCGTAACAAACACAGAAGCAAACAGCAGAAAATCAGAGACAAAAGCAGGTCCTCTCCTCTGGTGTCTACAATGCACGATAAGCATGTTTACTCACCCCTGCCCAAGCCAAAGACCCAACGTGTCCCTTCCCACACTATGGTCCCTACCCTAAAATATAACCCATCACCAAATCCCTCTGGTTCTCCCCTTAGGTAGTTCTTGATCTATTCGTTTCCCTCCTCCTCAATGGCTACAGTTCCAGCCCAACCACCACCATTTCTCACCTGGAATGCTAGAAACGCCCCCTCATTGGCTTCTTCTCTTGTACTTTTGCCACCCCGGTCCATTCTCTGCGTAGCAGCTGGTGTTTCTTTCAATAAACACCCGATCCCGCCAGCCCCACTTAAACCCTTCAGTGGTTTCCACTGCCGATAAACTGAGACACAAGCCCCTCATTATGGCCCAACTGACCAGAGTGAGCTGCGCCCTGAATGACCCACGGCACCGTCTCTCCTCTGCTCACCAGACTCTAGCCACCTGGCTTTCTTTCAGCTCCTCAAATGTCCCACTTCCTTTACCCACCTCAGTGTGCTTCCCCTTGCCGTTCCTGCTATCTGGAATCCTCTTCTCTCCCCTCCTCTCCTAACATCACAAGTTCCAAGTCTTGCTTTGAACACAAGTCCTCCACTGAGCCCGTCCCTGACCACCCTGTTGCTTTCCTTCATAGCACTGAGCGTAACTTATGACGAAGCACCTGTTTTATGTGTGTGTTTGCTTGTTTGCTTCTTTCACGGAGCTCCACAGTGTCAGCAGAATGTGTGCTCAATGTCAGAGGCTGGGGGCTCAGTAGCCCAGTCTGCAGTGGGCGGCAGCGCTACACTCACCTTCGTGATGGGAGCCTCAATGGTCATGGAGTGGATCCTCGCCATGGACGGGTAGCGGCGGTTCTGCAGGCTCGGGGCTGGAGAGAATGAGAAAGCCACATGTGGTTCTGGCAGTTCAGCTCAGTAGAGTGCAGCGAAGAAGCCCTTCATGTCTCACAGGACTGTCCATCCCACCTCCCAAGGGCAACGCATTTACCTCATCTCATTCTGAAAAGGCTTGCCTATGTCTGGAAAGGTGGTCTGACCTGGAACTTTGATCCACAAGGTGGATTTCAGGGAAGGCTAATGGGATCCCAAGGCCTCATCCCACAGCCTCAGGATCCCCCAGGATTTACCTTCCCATAAGTCACTCAAGCCCATCGTGGGCAGTTCCATCCCTCAGTCCTAAGCCACTGATTGTGTAGCCAGAGAACTGTACAGTGAAGGAGAAGGGGTGGCTCACGGTAATCCTTAACTCACAGTGGGAGTTAGAACCGATCACTGCCCCTACTGCACCTTTAGGTTCTTAACTCCAGAAAGCCATGGTGGCTCTAGTTCTAACCTATACAAAATTTCATTTTTCTAAATGTATTTTTTTGGAATAGGTGGGGGTACCCTTCATCAATAAGGGTCCCTGATCTCAAACCAGGCCAAGTGGGGATCAAAGGGAGGCCCGAACTTTACCTGTGCAAGGACCATTTGTGTATCTAATCCTGAATTGTACCCCACCTCTTGAAGATTTTTTAAAAATTGTATTTTTTGGAGTAGGTAATGCTGACACTGGGATTAGAATTCAGAAGGCAGAAGCTATACTTCAGAAGCCTTGTTCCCATCAGACCTTCCACCATACCATCTGAGCAGGCAGGAGGGGCAGAGTACCCATCCCAGAGGTGGGGTGACTTAACCCAGCCAGCACCAGAGCCTGCCTGCTGCTCAGCTGTCTTGGGGTTCTCTCCTGCTGCCATGGCATCAACCTTCCCAGACTCTTCCATACTCGTAAGCTTCGCTGCACTCAGGTGGAGAGATGACAGTCCCCTTCAAGTTATCCAAAAATGGAGCAAATCTAGTTTCAATTTCCATATCCTTTCTCCCCTCCGTCTAAAATGTTCTGTCTATACCCTCAATCCATCTCAAAGTATTTCAGTCACACTCTCTCTATATACTTGGTCTCCAACCCCCACAGGCCCTGTGAATTCTCTATCTTGTCTCCAGCTTCTTTGGTCCTTGCTATTTCGGCCACTTTCATGCCCAGACTTCCTCTGGGACCTAAAGGACTGAGGAGTCCTTCATTTGTCCTTCTGTTGACTCTCTTAGTTAACCCTAATCTCTCCTTTCTATCAGGCTCTAACCATTGTCACGCCCCTAGGGTCTCTTACCATTTACCAAACATGAACCACGTGAGTAAGTGGCATCGATAGTCTGTTCTCGGCTCTCAAGCTCTGGTCTCTGTAGCATGTAACACCACTGGCCACCTCCTTTCCCAGTGCTCTCAGTTTATGTGACACTGGACTCACATGGCTCACACTGGCTCTTCTGTCCCCTGCCCTGGCCCTGTTTCCTCTGCCTCCCATCTCACTGAGGGTGTGCTTGGGCTCAGACCCTCTGTTCGTTTGCTGCACACACATGCACACACACACACGCACGTGTGTCCGTGTACCCCGTAGAGATGTCCTTTTGCTCATGGCTCCATCGGTCACCACCAGGACTCCTAAATCCACATCTCTAGCCTCGAATACAAGGCTGGCATTTTAGATCTCTAGGCTTCTCCACCAAAATAAAACTCTTTGACTTCTCCTTAGTCCCCAACCTAGCCACAACTGGAGACTTCCCTATTTCTGTAAATATTACTTATAGTTTCCCAGGCACCTAGGAATGAAATTCCAGAATCATCTTTGACTTTTCCATCGGCCTGCAAGGCCAATTGGTGACTTAGGCCTGGCAGATTGAACTCAGAAAATGTTTTGCTAAATCCGGCTTTGCAGGTCAGAAATGTTTCGCTAAATTTTGCCTCACAGTATCTCTGGGACATTTTAGGGGGAAGCAAGTGCGTGTAGCAGGTACACTGAAAGTGGAGTTTGTGTCGAGAGTTGGGAAGCTGGGGCCCTGGCCCCCTCTCTGCCTCTTGCACCCACAAGTGACCTTGTTGAGCTACTGGGACTCTGAGTTGCTTGTGTGGTTCTGTGGCACCACACACTTCAGGCAATCAGGGAACAAGCCTAGAGTCACTCCAAAGAGAAGACAAAGACTGTAAAAAGCATAAAAGCATTCCAAAACCCCCCAAATGTTCCGCTTACTAAAAGTCAGTGTAATTGAAATTTTGGTCCTTGGAGTATATGCGGATGAAGTTTTTGAACATATTCCTCTGTCATATTCTACATTTTAAAAAGATCAAAGAAATCTGCAAACCTTCTTACCATCACTGCCTCGAGATGATATCGACCTCACGTCAATGGACTCTTTCCTCCTGTTCCTGTATCTGAATGAATGAGGCTCTAAGGATTTCAGATCAGAAATGGAGGCTGGTTAATTTTCAGCATATTCACAGATGAAGTTCAGATACTTTTCCCATTATTCTCTAAAGAAAACAAGGCTACTTTTTATGTACTATAAAATAACTTTAAAAAACAGTAAGCCACTTTCTTTTCAAATAATCAAGACATAATTTTCAGTCATGTTAGTAGTTAAATGATGCCTTTTTCTGATGGCGCCACTTTATGTCATGGTAATAAGGCTTATTATCAAGAGTAATTTAGTTCCATGAATAAAATATCATTTTGAAAATTTACATTAAAACTTAGAAGACATTTTTTGGGGGGTGTTCATCTCAACTTGAAGGACAATGTGTTCAACTGGGTGGGGAAAGCTCTTGTGGGAATATCTGAGGAAATATAATACTAGTGAAATCCACAAAGACTTTGAGTTATTTGATAAACTAACTTGGAGCAATTTGGGGCACCTCTGAAAAGTCAGACCTCTAGATAGTCTTCTAGGTTCTCTTAAGGATGGATTTCATCAAATGATGCCAACTGCCAATCACAGGAAGGGAAGAGGAGAAAAAGCAGTTTTATATTCCCAACAATTTCTAGCTACTAAACTCTCACTCTTGGTTCCTATTTTCTAAAAGAGGAAAAAGTATTTTTAAAATGGTTGCATAAGTCTTTGCAGACTTTGAACTCCACAACGAAAACGTGCTGTCATGTCAATGTAAGAACCAACTAAAAAGTACAAGCCACCAGTGAGAGCTGAGGTCTACCAAGTGCCAAGGCCATGGTGCTGGCTTCAAAACATGTTTTCAGGGCATTTTCTTCTTGTGGGCGCAACCCATGAGCAAGTAGAGAATTTGACCCAAGCTCCAGTAGGAAGAATGCATTTCTCAGACAGCAGCACATGATCATATTCCAAGAAGGAAAAAAGATGCACTCATGATTCTTCAAGAATTGCCTAGAGACACCAGGTGCAAGACGGCTTGGTCGTCAAGAGAACCAGCCTCAAGAGCCAAATTGCCAACATTCAAATCTCTACCATGCCATCTAGTAGCTATGTAACCTCACAAATGCCACTTCACTTCTCTGTCTCAGTATCCACGTCTGTAAAGTGGGGGTAATTATAACATTCATAGGTTTTTGTAAATGAGTTAGTCCGTGTATAGCACTTAGAACAGTGCCACATAGTACACAGGCAGTACATGTTGGCTATTATTAATCACATCATTTATTTGCATATATATCTTTTTAGATACAAATGTGATCATGTTATAGTGTGCTACTACTTGCTGTTTTTACTTCTTAATAAGAAACACTTTTCTAAATTGCCTTTTTAACTATTTACTTTAGTGTCCTAAAAAATCTGATTCAACTAAAAAAATGGTCAAATTGGTAACTAAACTAGAATTATATGTATACCACATGAAGCAAAAAATGGAACTTTTATAAAGTTAATCTGAACACGATGACCAGAGAGCCTTGTCTTAAGTGGTCTGACTTAGAGTATTCACTCTCTTTCTGCCTAATTTTATCTTTCAAATAGTACCTTAATAATTTTCCTATCCTTAGATATGAGTTTCTCTATAAAGACATCAATAGACATTAGTTTTAAAAAAGATATCTTTGGGATCATATGGAATTTTTCAAATCCTGAGAAATGACCAGTGATCACCTGCCAGATGCTTTTAAGTATATTCAGGGATGTAACAATCATGTACATTCCTAGCTTTTATTCACTTACCAAATAAATTAAATCTATCTTAAGATTGAATTCAAGAATAGACAACCAATAATTCCTCAAAATGTAATTTCTAAACAAAACTAAAAAGAGAACAGTTAGCTTCAAGACTGTGGCCCAGGCTGGCTGGTTGAATTCCGAGTCATTTATTAGAAAGTATTCAAAGATGGATGGTGCTTATTCATCCTGATTTTATCTCAGTTAAAATTAAGGCTGGGCGTGGTGGCTCATGCCTATAATCCCAGCACTTTGGGAGGCAGAGGTGAGAGGGTTATCTGAGCCCACGGGTTTGAGAACAGCCTGGGCCACTTGGCTAGACTTCATCTCTACAATAAATCAAAAAAAATTAGCTGGGCATGGTGGTGTATGCCTGTAGATCCAGCTACTTGAAAGGGTGAGGTGGAAGGATCACCTGAGCCCTGCACTCCAGCCTGGGGACAGAGACTCCTACTCAAAAAAAAAAAGCTTAAGGGACTCTATAGCAAGAGAAAAGATTAAATGTGTGGAAATAGTGAAAATATTATTCTTCAGTAAAGGATAAATAAAGGCCATGTAAATAGAAGATTTCATTGGTCATCTCTTAATAGATGCTTGTAGGATAGATTAAAAACTTAAACCAGAGAAAAGGAGGATAAAGGAGATTTAAATAGCAGTACTCAGTGGCAAAAATTGGTATTTTGTCCCCAATCAAAAAATAAATAGCTACTACTTACCGAGCAACTACTATGTACCAGGCATTGTGCTATATACTTTAAATAGAGTAATTATCTCATTTAATAATTACAACAATTCTCAATTCTAAAAGCCACATAATGCTACCCCCATTTATTTGTAAGAAATTTAAGTTTGGAGAGATTATGTAGGTAGCCCAAGGTCAAAGAGCTAACAAATTGTGGAAATGGCTTTCCAAGATGGTGTGGCTTCAACTTCTCAAACTCAGTGAGTCCTTACTGAGTGTCTATGATGTGCAAGGCCATGCTGGACATGAAAATGTAGTTCGGGCACCCAGAAGCTCACAAGTTAGTTAAAATAATACCCTCAACTCCAAGTGTTAAAATAAATTAGCTTAAACATGAGTGAGTGAGTGAGTGAGTGAGTGAGTGAGTGAGAGAGAAAGAAAGAGTGCTGGTATGTGATGTGTCATTATCTTATCACAGGTTGTTTTATGCCTAGAAAGTTTTCAGAAAAGGGGAAGGAAGATACCAAGTAGTTACCTGTCACATAACATACTATCTAGATATTAAAGACATTTTCTTTAATCCTCATTAACAATGAGATGGGCATTGTTAATTCATTTTACAAATGAAATCTTTCTGAGTAGGCTCAATAGGACCAATCCCAGAATCAAGAGAAAGATTACTTAGTTGGCCCAGGGCCTGACTCCATGCGTTTGTGGCTGGGAAAGCCACCAACAGGACAGAGAATGTTGCAATTCTTGCAGGAACAAAAACCTTCCATTTTCGGTAGCAGACTGATGTTTTCCTCTAATCGTCAAGAGAATTCCAGATCTTTCACACGTAGAGGTTCACCAGGGGTCCATCCAGTCCCTTGTTTTATGGAGGAAGCCAAGGGTCAAACAGAATCTTGCCCAAGGTATGAGATGAGAGTGTGTGGGGCTCCAATAGGGACCTTGTGTTCCTGCCTACCACAAAATGTGATGACACATTTTCTAATTGTGTCATCACCAGTCACTACAAAGAAAAGGAAGACTGGATATGGTTGGAAAACCACCATATTCTCACCTGTGTCATATTCAGCCAGTATCTCCCTTAGACTTCTGGGCCACTCTCTACTTTGGTTTATCTATGCTACATGGTAGAACATTCCTCGGCTAGGTAAGCCAAGAAAACAAAACCAAGATGGGAAGGCACTGGGAGATAAGGTTGCCATGGAGGAAGATGCAAGGAACTCCTGTCTTTCTTTTGGTTCTCCTACCTTCCGATATGAGCACTTGGAGTTTAGCGATCCACATTCTGGGGTGATGAGTGTTGGTTTAGACTTCTTCAGAGAAGTGTATAGACTGGAACCCACAAATGCTTCCTAAGGGTATTAGAGTTAAATCGAAGTATTCTCACCTGTCTGAGAATTGTCTCCCGAATCACGATGAATCTTGTGAATCTAAAGTTGTTCAAAAGTTTGGCAAAACAAGAGAAAGATTTAAAATATGCCATTTGCTATATTTCTCATCAAATAGTTCAGGCAAAAAGCTCTGAAGACTTCCAGAATGCAAGAAGCTGCACAGATAATATGAGCAGATGAAAGACACACACCAAGTGAGGACACTACAAAGGTTCCAGTACTTCAGACACTTGTCGAATGGCTGTGCCTGGGAGCAGGGAGGCACCAAAGAGACATGCTTTCTAGGACCTCTAAATCTCTACTTAGCCATTCTCATTTTGATAGTCTACAGAAATGCAGAAAGGCAAAAGCTATAGCCAAATTTAAATTTGTATAAGGCTAATATATAACCTGCTTATGTTTCAGTTATGTTATACAACTTTCCCGTAATATCAAAGTAAGCTGAATTTGATCCTAGGAGTTTTAAAAACCCTCCTACAAAGCTCTTCAAATGCTCCTTGGTTATAGACAGAGTCAACTCATAAAATGTTTTTTTTACAATGAGGTCTGAACTTTTCAGGCAATCTTGCACCTAGTTCTTTCACCTTATCAATTTTTTTGTGTGCTAATGATTTAGTGCTAGTCTCCAAAGAAATGTCCGCCAAATGACAAAATGAAGTCGTTCACACTAGAAATGAGAAGTATGCTTCCTTTGGTTCTCATTTTTGTGCTTCTAATTGACCACAACACTGTCATATCTATTCCTAACACACTTAAAATCATGTGGCTTCACTGCTAAGTCCCTGTACTCCCAGGTGCTCAGACCATCACACCTTTGCAGCCCCTCAATGAACAGTCAACTGGAAAGACAAGACAGGTGAGCATGTAGGACTGCCTGGGAGGGAAAACTGGCATGGCTGAGCAACATCAGCTGTAACAGCCAGAGATCCCATTTCTATCAGATGCCTGCAGCAGGTTCCAGCTTGATGGAACCATTAAAAAACAATCATGTAAAACCAAAGTGTTAAAATAGGGTTTTCTATGAACTCTTCTCTTCAGTCCATTCTGCATAATTATAGAAACAATTACATGACCAACCTGTGTGATATCTCGGCCATAATGTGGCTAAGGGCTGTGACTCATATATCCCATAATTATGGAATATTTTTATTTCTCCTGTGAACAACTGTTATATGTTTTCCTTCAGGGATCAAGACCATTTGCTATGAAGCTACTTACCGAGTTTGGTGTGAATTTTTTATACTAAACCAAATGAAGAAAACCTCCAACTTGCAAATTGTTTTCTCAATTAGCTTTAGCACAAACGCAAGTGATTTTTAAATGCTTGGCTTTTTTCTCTGAACCAAAATACACCTTTCCTTTGGAAGGAGAGTCCCACGGTTCCCCACATTAGTTTTGAAAAATCCCTTTTCTCATCTACCGCCAGTCCCCGGGGGCCAGCTGCCTGGCCCACGGAGCTTGTGTGCCGTCAGTGTGGGCTTTGTGTTCTCTCTAGGATGGAGCCAAGTAAGCACACGGTCCAGCAGGCACACAGTCCAGTGGTACCCTGGAGATGGAGCTGTGCCCCAGCCACCAGGGACAGGGAGGAGCAGGCAGAGCAGGCCACCACCTGCTGTGGTGGCTCTGGTCCGTCCTTCCCCACATGTGATGCTGCACTTGACACCTTCCGGGCTACACATGCCCCAGATGGGCTCGCCAGCCTCTGACAGACTGTCTCCGTGCAACACAGCTTGAAAGACCCCTCACTTTACGAGAAAGGATTCTCCAGGGCTGCGTCAGCATCTGCTGCCAGGACCCTATCTGATGGTTTACTTCATGTTGCTCTGTCCCCAGAGTAGCGTCTGCAGACCTGTCTCCTGTCACACCCTGGCCATGCTGGGTTTTTATTGGAGCCTTCAGACTGGTGATCTGCATGCCTTGTCCATCATTTTACAACCGAAGATTCATCTGGATGACAGTTCTCTTAGAGCTCGAATTTTCTTCTGGAGGTCTAAGTTCATCAGCCATATAAACACAGTCGGAAGGAGTCCACTACAATTATTTTTCCCATAATATTCAGTTGCGCTCCCTGGGAAACCAGACAGGAGATGAGTGGCTCTGTGGTCGGTGCTTTCCATGGTGGGCAGCAGGGGTGGGCTTCACCCCAAGGCAGAAGCCACCTCGTGAATGTTTCCCTTGTACTAGTAGCTTTACATCTTGCAGTTGAGTCCTCACATCAGCCTTGCATGAGTGGAAGTATTGTCACCCTTTTGACAGACAGGGAAGCTAAGGTTGAAACAAGTGAGTGACTTGTCCAAGCCACACTGTGTGTGTGCAGAGTCGATTTCAAACCACAGTCCTTCTGGCTTTCAAGCCATGCACTCTTGGGCACACTGCTCTCCCCAGGAGGCCCCAGAAGAGCTGTCCCAGGCCCAGGCCTGATAAACTAAGGAAGCACCCCGGTTTTCCTTGACATTTTGGGGAAGATGTTGTGAATTTCCTTTTTTCTTTGAGTTGGAGTCTCACTCTATCACCAAGGCTGGAGTGCAGTGGCGTGCTCACAGTCACCCCCAGTGTCAACCTGGTGGGCTCAGGCAATCCTTCTGCCTCAGCCTTCCAAGGCGTGCGCTACCACACCCAGTTAATTTTTTGATTTATTGTAGAGATGAGGTCTCGCCAAGTTGCCCAGGCTGTTCTCAAGCCCATGGGCTCAGGCAATCCCCTCATCTCAGCCTCCCAAAGCGCTGGGATGAAAGGCTTGAGCCACCATGCCGGGCAAATTTCTGATCTCAAAGGGTTTTGTCATGTGCTACTAACACAAAGAGAAGAAATGGCCATTCCATGTCCCGTGCCCGCCAGTCTCTCTGTTGTGTGGTGTTCTGTGTTCCTGGGAACCTGGAGGCATCAGTGCTGCAGTTTCCGCAATGTGAATACTGCTGCCCTTGGCCTGTCAGGCTCTTGCCAGAGCTCAAAGCCAGGATTTCTCAGCATGTCCTTGGAGGTGTATAGCTTGTTTTAGGGGAAAAATCATTTCAAACCTTTAATTACTTAAAATATTATAAGCTGCCACAAGCTTTGCCTTGTATTAAATGTTTACTAACATCTGGTCATGCTTGGCTCTAAAAAGCACTAAGAATTCTGAAATGTGTGATTTCAGGGTCATTTGTCTCTTAAAGAATAATCAGGTAAAATAACCTGCTCTCTACACACCCACCAGAATGTCTAAAACTAAAACAGAAATTTGTCATGGATGTAGAACAACTGAAACTCTCAAGCATTGTTGGAGAGAAACAGAATTATCAACTACTTTGTAAAACGGCCTGTCAACTTTTTAAAAAATTAACCACACATCTACTCTTTGACCCAGCAGTTCCACTCCTAGATATTCACCCAAGGTAAACAAAAATATATTCACAAGAAGACTCATCCGCACATGTCCAAAGCAGTCAAAACCTGGAACCAGCCCTGGAGTCCATCAACAGGAGAAGGACTGTGACACACTCATGCAAAAGAAGATCTCATAATAAAAAAAATTAATGATACATGCAGTGCAGATGAATCTCAAAAACATGATGAATGAAAGAAGCCAAACACACAAGAGCATACACTGCATGAAGCTCTAATTCACAGTTAAAAGAATTAGGAAAAGTGGTTACTTCTGGGGTGAGCAGGATGGGGGGAAGGAAGGGGCAAATTACAAAGGGGCTGGGAGACGTCTGGCGTGGTGAGGTTTGGTATCTCAGTGGAGTTACAGTATCTTGGGGTTATGGGACTGTATGCATTAGTCAAAACTCAAGTAAATCTATGCTTAAGATGTGTACATTTTACTGGATGTCAGTTCTACCTTAAAAAGAAAAAATGGAAACCAATAGTTAATACAGTAAGTCCCCTACATACAAACCTTCAAGTTGCAAACTTTTAAAGATGCAAACATGCATTCACATGTCCACATAAGCTAGTTCATGTGTCTGCAGTACATTGTCACTTGTGTGTAAGATGCTGTACTGTCAGATTGAATATGTTTTATTTTTGTGTTTGCTTTCTTTGTATTATTTGTGTGAAAAGTATTATAAACCTAGTACAGTACAGTACTATATAGCCAATTGTGTTAGTTGGGTACCTAGGCTAACTTTGTGACAGACAAATTGGACTTGCAAACACACTCTCTGAACAGAACTCATTCATATTTAACAGGGGGCTTACTGTAATATGCATGCTGAAGTGACAAGAGGTGAAACATACTGATGTCTGCAACCTTTGGTAGTTGGAAATCTATCAAAAAATAGATGGACTGATGGATGACTAGAGGGAAACAAAGATGTATATATGGCCAAGCAAAATGCCAATTATAGAACCTAGGTGGTGGGCACATATGTCTTCACTTACAATTTTTCCAACTCTTCTACATATTTAAAATTTTTCATAATAAGGTGTTAGAAAAAGTATATGTTCAACTGAGTATATGGATGAAATTTAGAGTCTGAATTATAGTTTCAAAATCTGTGAAAATAAACAAAACGGACAAAATTGAGAATACCCTGGAACTGAGTGAAGTAAGTGTCACGTCACAGTCCCTGGGGCTCCCTTCCACAAGCCGGGGCAGGAGCTGCTGCACCAATGCATTATGGGAACTGTAGACAGCAGCTGCCAATCTAAGCAGTGCAAGATTTACTGAGGCAACTATGTAAGACATTAATTTTTATTAATTTGATTGATCTTGTGAATTGTGGAATTGCAAATAAACTTAAATCTCAAGATCTCTTATGGGAGAAAAACCCTAAGAAAGAACAATAAGAAAACATTCCTCATAATACGTGTTCCAATCAACCGTTACAACAGAAAACCAAAAAAACCACACAAAAATGAGACTTTTCAGCAATTAAAATGAGTCAAGGCCAGGATCAGAACAGTAACAAACAAATAAGCAAATAATCCTGGATGCCTCCTTCAACATTCATTTCAGAATCACCCTGGGAAGGTGACTCGCATTTGGTAGAAAGGTCTGAGTCTGCTTCCCTCATTACTGACTGACAGTTAAAGGCATCAGAAGTCACAGAGGA